CAAAGGAATTTGAAATTTCCAAGGGGTAGGAAGGGTCAGAGAAAGAGCAAAATCACAAAGTATGGATGGAAATTGGAATTTCCAGGGGGTAAGGGAGTCTGAAAAAATTCCTCCATGGGGGGGATATGGATAATTTCTGGAACCACACATTGTTTATTGGTTGAGCCACAAGTCAAAAATGTTTGTATTAATTTTATTATTCACAAGAACAGGGAATGAAATCACACATTGATATCCAAAGTTACAATTGGAATATTTTATATTGTTCATTTTAATAAACTTATATGTACATTTACGTATATATATACATACTCCTAATAGCTAGTCCTTTATATTTCATTACTAATCACTAGTTATGATAAAAATCTGATTTTAACTAAACCAAAACAAACGCTAATTTATAAATTCACATGATATTTTAATGTCATTTTTTYCCGTGTATACAGTATATAAAACCAAGTTTCCATTTTCAGCCCTATTTTATTTTTTCCAAGTCTATTATCAGTTGCAAATATTAATAATCAGATTTTGCAATATGGTAATATTTGCCTGCACTGAAAATAAGGTAACTTTCATGATTTCATATACAATATTTATATTGTTTAATAAAAAGAACACAATACATGAGGTTTCCGTTGTGTTTCTGCTATTACGAGTGTTATTCTATGATCCACTTTAATCTACTCACACCAGCCATTTGATTGTGCATTCAATTCATTAATTCAATACCACTCCTTTCTTATCAAATTAATGCTAACATCTGGCTGCTGGTGACAGCTTGCTTGTATTTTTCGATTGGAAGTCTAAGAATTTGCTTGTTAATACACCAAATTAAAATATGGCTACCAATTTGAATAACCATTGTGTTAGACTGACTAGCCTCGTGTTCATGTGGAAACCTAAAAGTGTTTTCACATGTATGAGAGGCTAGTCAGACCAGAACAATGGTTATTCAAATTGGTTGCAATATTTCAATTTGATGTATAGGGCAAAAATAACTTTAGCATCTCAGTATCACAGCTCATAAATTTGTTTTTTGGAGGCAAAAAGGCGACTAAAAACATGTCTTACAGTGTGCAATGCCTTTTGAAGCTTATTTCCTATGTTACCCACATTCTGATGAGAATAGCCACCATTGCAGCAGAAACATCAAGCTCTCATCATTGATTAAACCTTTATTTTGTCATATCTATTGTATATGACAGCCTCCAAAGCACTTCAGTAAAGGAGTCTGGATAATTCCATTTGAGTCTGGTTTTTGAAATATCTTATATTATTTTTGGCACACATACACACAAACACTACATTAACCCATCTCATGTCTAGGTCTGTATAACAATTTTTTTCAGAGGAATATCTAGATTTGCTTTTACCACCTAAAGATTGCTATATTTTATCATCAATATAGTGATTATCGTAACAACTTACCTTCTATAATCACGAGCTGATTTTCTGATAATATCAATAGCGAAAATATAGTCTATAAAAGGCACAACTGGAGAATGGAATATTTCACGACTGTACAATTAGAAAACACTGAATGATATTACTTGGTGCCTTTTGAACTGTAACTTTATAATGTAACTACACTAGAAGACATACCAAGAACTAATAGAGGAAAAGTCTGATAAATGTATCAATTTGAATGTTTATAAATTAGGAACATTCTGTAGTTTTTTCAATGAAAATTTCTGACTACAGAAATTCCCAAAGGAGAATCTTTCAATTCCATCAAATATATTAACTTTTTTAAAAAAAAAATTGGAATTATTGCCTAACACAATAAAAACTGCGCTTGAAGTAAAAAGTTCAGAATTGATTTTCCATGGCAATTCCACATTCTTTTCAGCGTTTTTCTCTAAAATTATTAGTCCCAGTTATATATTAATTAGCGTGTATATAATTATCTATATACATATTTATTATTCATTGACCAAAAGAAACAAATCTATACCAAAAACTTTTCACACAAGACCCTTACAACCTCTGTTACCCTTCCGACTTTGGTGGAGTAACCCAGCCGTATTTTTCATGTGTTTTAACTAGCCTTTTAAAAGCGCTTTCGGCCTCTTTCCTCGAGAATGCTTTCTTGCAAGTTCTATCAATTCGTCCTTTGCCTTTAACGACAGCAGCCGAGAACTGAAGAATTACTGCCTCGACTGTATAAGCACTGCTCCAGCCTTTAGGTGTTAAGAGTTCCATACAGATAGCCCCTCCGTCTAGAACAAAGCCGCCTTCGATTCGTGGGGCAAGAACTCGCATAAATGGCGGCGCAAAAGGGAAATTCTCCGGAAATGTGATATTGAGAAGGATGTATTTGGCTCCTGTTTCGACCATATCTCGATGAAGTAGACTGTCTCCGTCTATTTTGTGTAATTTAACGTTCCATTCGTATAGATTATCACTGACCAGCTCGGCTGAAAATATCCTATAATCGCTTTTTCGGTTAACGTCGTGAAATTCTTTCATAAGTCGTTTTGTTCGAACGCGTTGTGCGTGAGAGAGAGACATACTAGCGACCTCCATTGCACCACCGTTTTTGGTCGACGCTTCGTTCTTCTTAGTACTGGTGTCTTCTTTGACATCCTCGGACTTTTTCAACTTATCAGGCCCATCTTTATTCTTATTCTCTGTTGACTGTTTGTGGTTGAGATGGGTACGTGACCCCCCTTCAGTGTTGTGTTCCGTGGCGTTTCGTGCGTCTCGTCGTACCAACTTTTTCAGGACGGACGCCATTTTGTCCAAGCAAAGCTGAGCAAAAAGACACGAAATTATCAACTAAGCCGGCCAATAAGTAACCTTTTTCGCAATATAAAACAAAAAATGATCTTTTTAAAGGATTAATCAGTCCATTCAAGCACTAAAGAGCAGAGCAAAACTGTTTAAATTTCCCCTTAGAGTAGAGAGTTTGATGAAGGATCGAATGTAATGAAAAATAACTCATCGTGCAGGGTGTTATGGGAAGGCAAAGTGAAGATTCACCACTTCCGGTTTGTTATACTGCATTTCTTTCCGTTACCATAAAACAAAGAAAATGAGAAAAATAAGAGAAGAAAAATCGTCTTAAAGGCCACAAAGACAGTATACCCTTTTTACCTTTTTTCTATATTGAACTGTCGTCTTCGGGCATAATTCCCGATCGTATCTCATAATTCATTTATTTCTCTGTGTTTTATGCTCTTATTTATATAATGATTCAATTTTCTACCAGAGATATCTTCCGATTCGGTAATATTACTTTACATGTAAATACGTCATAAGAAGAAATTGTGAAAGATATGTGGTTTAAAGAGCTTTGCTTCTTTCCTGACGTACTGTGTGGTGCGGCAAACTGACGTATAATCAAAAAGTGAGACGTCTTTTTCGCAAAAACTGCAATCGAAAACTTACACGAGGGGAGTTTAAGATAAGCAGTTATGAATGCGACGCGACTAATAGTAAAATAGAAAAATCAAATAATTTATAGTGTTCGTCATCGGCAATCATATCCCAAAATAAATATTTGAAAGACGTGTGTGAACGAAAGTGTCCACATTGAAGAGAAATTAACTATAATGTTTTTACTGCATTTATGTGACGACGTCAGAATTACGTAAAATATCGCTTTAACCCTTAGAAGTTAACTTAATCCTACGCAGCACCATCAATAAGTGGTAAATAGTAAAAAAAGATGATATAGCATAAAAAATGTATAAATTTTGCAAAAAATATCGTTAAGTCGAATCCATGTATAAGCGTACTGGCGTATAAGCGTAGTGGTCGCAATAGTAAAACTAAATAAAAATAGAATAAAAATTTAATCCTCATAAAAGGGCCTCTGAGGGCCCCTGCCCCCCGCCCCGTCTCCGCCGTCAATGAGAATGTGTTTATATTAAATATTCATCAGTGAACAATAAAAACATGCAGATCGATAAAACTTTTATTTTTTGATAGATATTTTCTTTATTTGCTTTTATCGGTAAAGTTCACGACAAAACTAAAAAAGTCAAAAAAATACACCCCAAAAAGTCGCCCTAATTTTTGTGGCCGGATCATTTAGTCAAGGATTATCCAATCATGAGACAAGAAGTCGGCACGTGATCAACGTTTCCCGCTCTTTTTTTCGAGTTTGGAAGACATGTTTTTAAAGAAAGATTTGCTCGCAAAAATGTGGTAAGTTTTGTCCTTTTTCTCTTTACTTTGGTTGCTGCTATCTATTAATTATCTAATGATATGTTTTAAAAGACATTTTATTACCTAAAATTCAAAGAATTCCACCATAAAAGATGGAAAGTAGGTTGGCCATGCAAACTTGCACAAATAAGACTTACATGATTTGTGTATGAAATTTGAATTAACTTTTGTCCGACCTGCTTTATTAGTTCAAAGACATAGACTAGAGCACGTTTTAGTTATGAATACTTTTACATATGTGCTTGCAATCATTCTACAGAAAATGAAACTGAAAATTAAAAGAAATGGCATCCATGTTGGTTGATATACGGGAGACTAATAACAGGGGTGGATCCAGGGTTTGGACATGAGTAGTTTACTCTGAATTTATACCCAACCCACCATACCCCTATTAGTTATAAACTGCCTAAAAGGATACATCTACCATAGCATGCTGTCTGCAGTCAAGATCCTTGTACAGATTTATCTCAGTTGAAGAATCTAGCACATCAAAG